ACTTCTGATTTACAGATTGTTGAATTGCATGTCAGGCAGCTTCACATCCTTCTGCCCTCTCATGCCTGTGACTTGCCTTGCTCTCACTGCACTGCTGCTTACTGCTGTTGGCTTTCATGCTCCAAATCAGGAGAGGGAAAGGGAGACATCGAAAACATCCCAGTCTCAGGCGTTTCTGACAATTACACATGTGGAATCTGCACGTGTACCAGACTTCACCTTTCTCTTGTGGAAGCATCCCAGCTTCTTTTTTTCATACCCCTGTGGAGCAGTCAGTGAATGAGGAGCAACCTTCTGTTGTATAAATGCTATACCATTACACTTGTAAACACCATACGGACTTCTTAAAAGTTTTAAGCAGAATCCTGGCTCATTGTTGAGGGGTAGACCAGGTGACCACTTGCAGTCATTTGCATCCCTAGAATCCTTATGTAAAAATGGTGTCTTGTGGTGCCCTAAAGGAGGGGTCCCCAACGTAGTGCCTGCAGGCGCCATGGCACCCTCTGGCACCTTTTGTGGTACCTTAAAGCAGGGGGCACCATGGCACCTGCTGACATGTCTTTTGGCACTCACCAAGTGGGTTTAGCCAGGTAGGGCTTTTGCCCAGCAAGGCTTCTTACTAACTATTAGAGATTTGATTTGGCTGTGCAGATGTTTTTAAATGTTGCTTTGGGAGCAGCTGCGTGACTGAAGTTGAGCTGTGGCAATCAGTTTGTGGCTGGCTCAGCCTCCTGCGGCAGCCGTTTTGTTCCTGCACCTACCATGCTGTGTCAGAATTCCAGAGATGTCCACAGACTCAAAAAAGGTTGGGGACCCCTGCCTTAAAGACTAAGAAAACCTTATTCCAGGATAATCTTTTGCATGCCGGTGACCACTTCTTCAGATACAGCAAAGGCTTTCTCACTAGGGAGCCCTTTTACGTAAAGGTATAGAAAAACCAGAAGGGAAAGAAGAGCAAGGGGGCGTGAAGGGCCATCAATACAAGGTGAGGGGTAATAGTGATCATATAAAAATCACATCTAAGCAAGAAAAATATGGAGGCCATTCGCTGGTTTCCCTAGCTTTGGTTACTGTCATAGGCGGAGAGTCCCAAGTTTTGCTAAGATTGTTAACACCTGTGATGATGAAAAGATCCCGAGTCCTTTACATAACTTGACTTTCCTTTCAAGAAAGAACCTTGGATGATGAAGGCGGGGTTGTCCTGATGAACCATATCAATGGTATTCTTATTACGCAAAGCACTTTAGCATATTTATCTCATCTGTCTTGATACCATCCTGTACGCTGGGTCACTTTGGTGGCATTTAGTGGCGGGTCACTGAGACCAAGAGACCTTGCCTGCCATTTGATTCTGTCTCTTGCAGGTCCACATGTTACACTCTGTCTGCTAAAAGTTTGCTAAGCCCTGTGCTGGCATTTGTCCTGAACCTAAAGGTCAACCCTTTGTATTTCGTGTTAGGGCTTGTTACAGCCTGATGCAGCACTGAACACTGCATCTTTCTCCTTACCTTCCGCACTATTTCACAAAACCTCTGTTGCTGATCATTTGCAGAAGATGCTTCTGGAGAGGCCGTTACCACAGTTTACAGCAATGCAACACCGCCGCCGGCTTCAGACTCTACAGATGAATTTACCACCTACTTTGATCAGAAAATCCCTATCCCTGAAGATGAAAAGGTTAGTATGACTATCCCCGATAACCACCTCTGGTTCATGGCTCTCTACCTTTGGGGGTACAGGGTATATGTGTATCTAAATAGGGTAGTAGTTCCTCAGTTGGGGGGGGGATGACACACCATGCGATGATCTGGTATGCAGCAGGAACTAAAAGGTTCCTGGAATTCCAATGTCTCCACCCGCACAGGAGGCTGCCTGCAGAATCCCTGCCTGGATTCTGACCTTGCTACTCTGCAATCATCCTCCACTTTGGGTGGGTGCTTCAGTTGCATCTTGGCATCTGGTAAGGAGGATCCTTCCGTATTCCAGCAAAATGAAGCCACTGTCAGAGGAGGCTACTTACTGTGCTTCTGCATGAGTCACGCTCTGTGGTTATTTTCTTCCAGGGTTGATCCAAGGCCAAACCAGTGACTCATGCAGAAGAACAGTGAGTGGGTTATTCGGGGGGCAGATAATTTCTAGCTCTCCCAGACTGCAAAATCTTTTTCAGTTGTGAAAGCAAAAAAAAAAGTTTCTAATTCTAGTTCTGAAACGCAGTGTGTTCTCGACTATCTGAAATGTCTGCTAAAATGGTTTTCAGTAGGCTCCCTTCTAATCTGGAAGTGGTAATTTCTGGATTCGGTCATTCTGCCCCCTTCTTGTATACAGTGTGTGTGTGTGTGTTCACCCAGCAGCCCTCCTTTTGACCTGCATTACTCCCTGTAGATGATTTGAGTCCTTCTCCTTCCTGGTTCTTGCCAGGGGCGAAACGGTGAGCAGTAATTTTCCAGGGTAAACTATTCAATGCAGTGATCGGTTGGTGGGGAACAATGGTGCTCTGTAGAAGCGGCAGCCTTTTACCTCTAGGAAAAGAGTAGATGAGCCGGTTCTTATTTATGGTCCTACCTTTTAAAATAAAGTTAGCTGTCCAGTGGAACACCTCCCTGGCTGTTTCTGTAATGGCCACAAAGACCTTCCGTCCAAAGGGCTGCAGTGTGGAATTCAAACTGAAGCAGCCTGTGTCAAGCAGAAGCGTTGTCCTAGGCTGGCCATTATTTTATAAGTCTGGAGTTCCCACTTTTTGATTCTAAACAAATAGATTTTGTTTCATACGCATGAATGTTGGCACTGGGAAGACATGGACGCTTCCTCCTCCCTTTCATCCAATTATGGCAGTTTTATATTGGGAGAGCTTAAATGTGGTGTGTTCTTTTGACATTGTCATGTATCTGGATCGAGTTCAATGTTACTGTGTGTGTGTATGTTTTTTTTGAAGGAGATGAAATTTGCATCCAGACTTAGAATTGGCTGAATGTACTATATTTCTTGCAGGAAAACCAGCTGTTAATTTTAGCAGTCTAGGGCAGTCAATCTCAAGCAATCTACTTTCTGGGTTCATTTTCCCCACTGACTTGTCTGCTCCTTGACCTATCTTCCATAGGATATACCCCAGAGATTCCATGGACATTCTAGCTGGAGGAACGAGGAGGGGTATCTTGTCCAATTCCTCTCCATACTGTAGCCCCCCCCCCCAGTTCGTGACCTTTCTTTCTATAAGGGTCCCCAGTTCCCAGCAGTGCTTTTTCACAAGGTGTTGCTGGGGCAAGGGAAAGATTTATTTTATTTACTCTATCTGTAGTCCACTTTTGTTACTGAAACTCTAGGTGGATTATACAGTGTAAAACAATGCAGTCAAATAGCGCAAGACATCTGATAAGCAATGCAACCAGAGTAGGTTTTCAAAAGTTAGAGACAATGCGGGGAAAAAGTGTTGGAGGTGCAGAAAACAGTATTACAAAAATAGAAAAACAGTGCGGTGAGAGAAAGATAATCCATAGGGTAAACAGATAATGCACTAACTTCTGTTAGCAGAATATCCACTGCCTACAATCCCTGTTCTGAAGAAGTGAGCAGTGACTCACAAAAGCTCATCCCCTGCCACAAATTTTGTTGGTCTTTAAGGTGCTACTGGGCTCTTGCTCTTTTCTGCTGCTACAGACAGCTAGCCATCTTGATCTACAACCCCTTGTGTTCTGCATGGATATCAGAACTGGTTACAGGGTGCTCATTCAATTTGTGCAGTGCATGAGGCAGACTTTATGTGCCTGGTGGACTCTGTGCATCAACAGAGACTGCACCCTAGAATGTGACCAAATCGTCTTCTGCAGCTCTAGATTGCAGGGGAAGATTAAGAGTGGTGCAGAAACTGTCCTCCGGGGAAGCTTTAAGCTTCCTAGGAATTCTGTAATTTTTCCAAAAACTGTTTGAAAGCCACTAATGTAGGTATGTGTTAAGAGAGCGTTCTTCCTGTACTATCCCACGTACATTTTATGATGCTACATTATGGAATTCTTCAATTTATAGCATGACAAGTCCCCCTGGATCTAAACTGGCAATATCTCTTCTTTTGTGTGTGGACTGCTAATCTTGTGTGTTCATGTCTTGCTTCAAGATAACTCTCTTCTTTGTGGGGGGGTGGGGAGGAACACAGAAATTTAATGCCCCATTTTTGTCTCTTCATTCCTGTTTTTAAAGCATCCCTGGTTCAGTTTTCGAAAACTCTGGGCCTTCACTGGGCCAGGCTTTCTCATGAGTATCGCCTACCTGGATCCAGGCAACATCGAATCGGATCTACAGTCTGGTGCTGTTGCAGGGTTTAAGGTAAGAAGTTAAAAGTCTCTCTGTGGAATCTGGATCCTGAGTATCTGAAGTCTTCAGTAGAGTTTCAGATCACTAAGATACCTTACTTGTAGTCCTGTGCACCGATATAGTGTTAGTTTGAACCAGCTATTTGTTGGCACTTAAACATGCTGTTCAAGGGAATTCACAGCTTGTTTAAATGGCTAGACTGTTCTGTCTCCATGGGCCATGTACCATATCTGAATAGCATTGAAACTGAGCAACTGTTGAGGTGAGTTGTCAAGGTCAGGTTAACTGGGCAGAGTATTCTCTGTTCTCTGTCCTCAACAGCAGCTCAGCCCTGGGTGTGAATTGATACTGTACACAGGTACTGTTCCACTACCACTGCTGTTCCTGTCTTTGCCAAGAGTTAGAGGAAATGGAATATCTGTTGGTACCTAAATCTGGGGTTCCACTACCACTGCTGTTCCTGTCTTTATTTCTTAATGGGGAGGGGCTGTGGCTCAGTGGTAGAGCATCTGCTTGGCATGCAGGAGGTCCTAGTTTCAGTCCTCAGTATTTGCAGTTTAAAGGCTTTGGCAGTAGGTGGTGTGAAAGACCTCTGCCTGAGACCCTGGAGAGGCACTGCCAGTCTGAGTGGACAATACTGACTTGGATGGACTAATGTTCTAATTCAGTAAATGGCAGCTTTATGTGTTCTGCTGATGGCTTACATTCCAAGTGGAAGAAAGCCAACTATTCTGGAATAAGCCCAGAACTTTTTAATGTTTTTAAAAGGGAACATTTTAGCTAAAAGGAAGAACATATGTACAGCTGAAGCAGATAGCAAAAGGATTTTTTTAAAAAACACGTCTGTAGTTAATTCACTTCTTACCCTTCTGCCTGTCCCAAGTGATCAGTGTTTGCACTCGATTGGTTATGTTATCTGAGATGGTGTACTTTTTCTGTCTTTTGCAAAAACGATACAAGGTAGTAAACGAAGTTTTATACCCATCCTCCCCTCAAAAATGTCAGTGCTAGAAGCATCAGCTAATTGAAGGCTTCCTCTTTACCACCAGCCTCTCCTGGAGACCTGGGAACTGTGGTCAAGATCTCTCTTTGAGGAGTGCCAGGGTACAAAGGCAGAAGCACATTGGCACATGTTGATGTATTCGCGGTGTATTTTTGCAATACTGTGTTTCTTTGATGGCTTAGAGCTTATGGACTGTTCATGTGAATTGCCACGCTATGCATCGCCTTAATGTCACATACATGGAATCAGAGCTGAAGATATGGGGGGGGGGAGCTCCTTATCTCCTTCAGTATCCCACCGTGCAGTTCTTTGGAAGTCTCTCGCAGTCTTCTTTCTGCTTTCCAGAGCAGGAAAGGAAGGGTATGTGGCAATTCAGGCTTGCAGAGAAATATTGATTGCATTCACAGTAACACTTCATTTCAGCATCAGAATATAACAACCGGTAGATAGTACCATTGTAGACCAGTGTTGTGGGTAAAATTGGGATTAAATGATTAAATTGGGACACAGCAGTACAGAGGGAACAATACTTGTGCATGTTGCATTTTCATTAAGTTGCATGATGCACCAAACTGTACATCAACGTTGCATGCTTTGAATACACCCATTCCTTGTCCCAGTGGGTAACACAGGCCAAACTGAGGTTGATGTGCATGCTAGTGTAATCACGCAGCTGCTGATGCTAATGACTTGTACTGGTCAACACAAATGGTAGTGCATTTGGACCCTCAGAACTCTCCTAAAACTACCATTCCCAGAGTTCTCAGAGAGTGTAGCTATATCAGTTATATGGGTTTGAAGGGCTATCCTCCCCTCCCTATTTCAGAGACTGCTGAATTGCAACTGATAATGAAGCTCAAGACAATTCATCCTCCTGGACTGAATCAAGACCTAGATTTTTACCCCCTCTGCATATCACACCTAATCCAGTCCCACCTACTATTGTCTTTCACCTGCCATTGTCATTTGCCTGCTGATGTGATTCAGCCTCTGAAATCACTCCACACTCCAAAATATAGGACAGATGGACTCACACTCTAGCTGTATCTGAAGAAGTGAGCAGTGACTCACAAAAGCTCATACCCTGCCACAAATTTTGTTAAGGTGCTACCAGAGTCTTGCTTTTTTCTACTGCTACAGACAAACACGACTACCCATCTTGATCTATCCCCTCCCTTTTGGCAGTGTAGATCCACCCAGGATGCTCGGCTTCAGCAGTGGATTGCCAAAAAAAAAGCACATGCTTTGAAAAACCACATCTAACTTCTGGCTGTAAATGATTCTTCAACCCTAGGAGTTGGATTGAATTCCCCTGGAATAGGAGATGTACTTTAGTTAGTAGACACTCTGATCTGTTGTGTTGCCTCCAGAAGACTCATTGTTCAGCCATTTTTTACCTTTCCCCCTGCACTCTGTCTTTCAGCTACTCTGGGTTCTCCTGCTGGCCACTGTCATTGGTCTGCTGTTACAGCGTTTGGCAGCGAGACTAGGGGTGGTAACAGGACTTCATTTGGCGGAAGTATGCAACCGGCAGTATCCAAAGGTGGGTGAAAACCAGCTGTGCTTGTTCTGAGCCCAATTTTGGGAAATGGGCAGGATAGAAATTAAATTTATTACAATGATCATTATTATTCTGTTGGGAACTGTGTCGTGTTTGGTACACCTTGTTGAGAGCAGAGGGCTGCCCTGTTGTTGGCCTCCCAGTGTGTGATAATCCCAGGCAGGATCATGATACAGACGATAATAGTAACTAGGGTAGGAGTCCACAACCTTGATGAGTCTGTGGGCAATTTTGGAATCTTGAGAACTGGTAGTAGACACTCCCACAAAATAGTTGCTGCGGAGGAAGTGGTGCAGCTAACCACACAATGGCTACCATGGAGATTGGGGCCAATCACAATAGTTCCAAGCCAATTATTGTTTGTTTTTATTTACAAAATGTAAATAAAGGGCCATCTAGATGGCTAACAGATTAAAAACATATATAATAAAAACACAAGCAAAAAAGAAACACAGCATTAAAACAAGTAAAACCACACATATGTCAGCGATCACTGAAAGAATGACAGACAAAGCAAAGAAGTCATCACCTGCCAAGTGTCCTCTTATGATGAAATCAGCTGTTTTCCAAATGGGTGCTCCCTGTAGGCACAAAAGTTGATGCCTCCTGGGCTCTTCTGAAGTCCCTCCTCCATTGAGGTGAAGGAAAGCTGGGAACTGACTATTTTCTTGGGGAAGCGATGCTTTGGAGAAGAAGGAAATGGGGACCATGTGGGTGGTTGTTGGACAGAAGCATGGTGGAGCAGGAGGGCTGAAGTCAGGAAGCCAAAGCAGTCCAAGGAGACTTGCATGACCACTGAGTGCACACACACTCTTCAAGAATTTTGGAGCAAAGCTTGTGTCTTCCAGACAACATTTTTATTTATTTATTTATTTATTTATGGGGGAGAGAGGGATGACCTTTCTCACTGAGACTCAAGGCAGATTACAGAATATGAAACAATGCAATCAGACACCATAAAACATTTAATGAACAATGTAATAGGACTACTAGGATTACAGTATTAGAAAACAGCGAGAACAAACTTTCTAAGGCTAAGCAAACTATAAGCAGTGCAGAAAGTGGAATTAGGGTGCAGAAAGTGGTATGCTGTAAAAGCAAGATGATATCTCAGATATCATTGCAGTAGACTACAGTCCTGTTCCATTATAAAGGTGCTCTCCTGTTTTTCTTCCTCCTCTTTACAACTCAGCCCACCCACTCCCTTCCCTTCTGATAGGCCTCTGCAGTGTTTGCTTAATTGTGGCCTCTGTAAATTACTTTACTGATCTTGGAGAATCACATCTTGCGTCAGAGAAGCCAGTCTTCAAAAGCCTGGATTTAGATGAGCGCATAGAAGATTTGTTCACTATGAAATTCCTTTGGGGGGCTTGTTTTGGTAATACACGGTTGCCTAGGGATGTGAAGCTGTTTTGAAAAACAGTCTGCCTGATGTCCCCCCCCCTTTCCGGTTGTATTGATCCCCCTTCTTTCTCTGTGCCTGCTTTACACTGGGTGGCAGGTCTTGAGAATAACACTTTGGGTGGTCTCATCTAACTGGCTTGGGAATTAATTACCCCCTTTGGAGTATTCAGATTCCTCCTGGAGGGAACCCAACCCTGAAGCAGTTACCTGCAGCTCTTTCGTTTCTCCAAATATGTGCGAATATGATCTTGATCGTGGTAGCTGGGGTTATTTCAGTTCAAGTTGAATCCCAGGTAAAGCTGGACTGGTACAATTTTTCCTGGAGCGAGTAGAAGAAGGGGTGGTCTCCAAGGTGTGTTGAATCCCCTCCCTTCCCTTTCACCTTTGTGGTGTGGAAATTGCAGCATAGTTCCTTTCCATGCTGAAAAGGTCGCATGGGAAACCCTGTGTTATGTGGCAGGAGTTTCTGGGTGGGCCAATACTGGCATGAGATGGACTCCGGGCTCCTCCCATGCAGCCTAATGCTTCCGACGCATTTTTTGTCGTGCGGGAAAGCAGTGTGAGATACAGCCGTAACCACTCAGTCATTTGCGTAGCAAATTAAAACACCAGGAATGCATTTCCTTGACACTGTACAGTGGGAGTTCTTGGCTTCCAGAGGCTAGATAGCAGCTCCCTTTAGGAACCTTCAAAACTCTTTTTCAGAGGGCCTCTGATTTGGCTGCACTGTTGATTTAAAAGGGTGACGCTTGCTTAATCGTTAGAGGGGGGGGGGATTACTTAGCAGTCTTGTTATTGTGTGTTGGTTTCTGTCTTGCCAAATCCCATGCATGTAGGTGAGTCCTGATCTCCGAAGACAGTGAGTCTTTCTTCCACAGGGCATTTGACTTCTAAAAATAGAATGCAATGGTGGGGTTTTTTTAAAAAAAAAAGTTTTGCACAAAGCGTGTTGTAACTGGCTGGTGGTTTTAATAGGCTTCTGTAGCTGTGACTTGTGCCAGGGTTTGTTAACCAGAGTTAGTGCCCAATATTAGACCAGAAGGAAAAATTAGCATAGCAAGCTTTCACTATGCACCATTGTGTTTCCAGATCTATCTGCTGCTTTTGTGGGTTTTGTAACTGTATAAATACACAATTGCTGATTTGTCTGCTCACTTGGAAGGTAAGGTATTGCTGTCTCTAGTGTGGTAAAAAGGAGCAGAGGTACAGATAATGGGTTTCCCTCTTCTCTGCTCTGCACTGTCCTATCTTGTGCCTCAGTTTCTCACACAGATTAAAGAAGATCTGGAAAAGTAAAAGAATGTCTCCCCTTCCCCCCAGTTATGGATACTGTTTCTCCATCAGTCTCAGAAGTTAAGTGAAATAAAACAGGAGTCCAGTGACACTTCAAAGACTAATACAATCTATTCCAGCATAAGCTTTTGTAAATCAGAGTTCACTTTATCAGATGCATTGGAGCATGTCTCCCTCTGACCAATCTGTATATACAATAGAAAGGTGATGGTGCGGGGGTTGCAAAGGGAGGCCAGTTCAAAACAAAATCTGGTCCAAAAAGTAATCGGTTCACTGATCAGTAATCATAGAAAAGAGCAAGAATCCAGTAGCACCTTAAAGACTAACAGAATTTGTGGTAGGGTATGAGCTTTCATGAGCTCACTTCTTCAGGTATATCAAGAAGTGGACATTGACTCATGAAAGCTCATATCCTACCACAAATTTTGTTAGTCTTTAAGGTGCTACCGGACTCTTACTCTTTTCTGCTGCTACAGACAGACTTAACAGGACTACCCATCCTGATCAGTAATCAGTGGGTGTGACACACGCCCAGCTGTTGTTAAATAGGCAAAAATGTTACATGTTGAAATGAGATGAGCAGATACACTAGGACGTTACAGAGATGTAGATGAAGTAATGAACATATTGTTAGGATATGCAAAATATTAGCAAGCTGTAGTGAGTTAGGAGGCAGCCTGAATTGCCCTGATTCGCCTAAGCTTATGAGAGCTTGGAAGCGGAGCTGGGTTTGCCCTGGATAGTGCTTGGATGGGAGAACACCAAGGAAGACGAGTTGCTCTGCAGAGGCAACTAGGACTAGACACCTCTGCTAATCTCTTGCTCTCAAAACCCCACGAAGGGTCGCTATAAATCGGTTGTGACTTGACAGCTCTTGATTTAGTGAGGCCCCTGCCACACGCAGGGGAAAAGGCGCTAGAAGGCGCGGCTTTTAAAAGCCGCGCCAATGTTGACACAGCGCAGCGGGATCTCACGGATCCCCTGGCCGTGCCGCCGTTTCTCCACGGCGCGATCAAACGCCGGGGAGAAAACACAGCCCTAACCGGGGGCCGGCCGAACTGCGCATGTCGGAGCATGCGCAGTTCGGCTCCGGGCCGGGGTTGAGCCGGCGATCAGATGCCCGGGAAGAAGCGCCGCGTCCACTTGAACCACCGAGGTAGGTGGTTCATTTTGCGGCGGTTCTTCCCGGGTTTGGGCCAGTTCAGGTGCGGAAGCAGAACGCTTCCCAGATGTGGCGGTGTGATCGCGCTGCTTTGATCCGCCCCCAAACTGGCCCGCAACTGGCCCAAATCGCCGCGTGTGAACGGGACCTGAGTCAGGAATTCTAATTCCCTGTTAAGCTCCAGTGGGTGTATTTGTCATGAATGTGTTCATTCTCATTCAGCAATTTTAAGTTGGTTCTCCCTTTGAAGTTCCCTTTTCCAGAGAGTATAGTTTTTTGTGCTGTTAGGTTTCAGTTGGACAGTGTTTTTGACAATAGTGTCAATTGGAATGAAAGCTTTTCAAGTCTGAAATATTCTGAATTTGTTCTCTTTATCCTTGAACCATTTCATTTATTTCATATCCTTATCTGCAGCTCAGAGCCCTTCAAAAGATGAATGAACTACCTCCCCCCCCCCACCAGCTTGACAACTTCTAAACAGTGGGGGAGAGGGAGAAAAACTGTGGTTAGACTGAACACACGCTCTCCTTTTTCTCTCAATGTTTGTGCCTAGGTCCCACGGATTATCCTGTGGCTGATGGTGGAGCTGGCTATCATTGGGTCCGATATGCAAGAGGTTATTGGTTCAGCCATTGCTATTCACCTCCTGTCTGTTGGAAAGTAAGTCGGCTGTTTTATCCTCTGAGTTATTGGGGTTGAGGTTTAAGCATCTCCCTGCAAGTTCTGGTAGAGTCACTTGTCCCTTTTTGCACCAAGAAAAATAATTTCTGCTCTGACTGGCAGCAGCTCTTCAGGGTCTCAGGAAGAGATTTTTTACATCGCCTATTACCTGATCCTTCCAATGGGAGATGCTGGGCATTGAACCCGGGACCTTCTGCATGCAGAGCGGATTCCCTACCACTGAACTAATGCCTTTCCAGTACAAAGATGAGGAATCCAGGTGGGTAGGCACCTTGGTCTGAAGCAGCAGAACAAAGTTTGAGTCCAGTTTAATTTTGGGTATAAGCTTTTGTGTGTGCACACACACTTCTTCAGCTACTCAAAGATGAGTAACGGCCTGTCTCTTTGTATAAGCTGGTGTTTGTGAATATTGAACTGCACAGGTTCTATTTCAGAATGTAGGGGGGAGGGGGCGGACTCCATGTCTGGATTCACACACACACCCCGACAGCACACGTCTGCATGCAGACGCCTAGTCTGTCAAAAAGAAGCTTTAAGCTACAACAATTTTCTTTAGCTTGCAGCCTTCCATGTTCCGAGAGGTGGCATGTTTTGAGAGAGAGAGAGAGAGAGAGAGAGAGAGAGAGAGAGAGAGAGAGAGAGAGAGAGTGAGTGAGTGTAGAAGAGTCCAGTAGCACCTTAAAGACTAATTTGTGATAGGGCATGAGCTGTCATGAGTCACTGCTCACTTCTTCAGGGGTGTGTGTGTCCTTCCTGCTCGAATGTTCCAGTGTAGGACTCCCGATTCTGGAGTCTGAAGTGCTGCTATCTTTGGAGGGCTGTACCACGGAATGTTTGAATATACATAGTTCAATTCTCTGTCTGCTACAGAAGAAAGACCCTGTTGACAGATATCTTCACACAGATGTTAAATGTGTTGGAGGACTGAGAAGTCTCAAATTAGTTTTAACTCCTGAATTTCTCTGGGCCTTAACTATCTGATGTACCTCCCTAGTCCTGTTTCTGTTACTTCTGTGTTTGTTTTTTTGTGAAACTTTGGTGCAACACTTACCCTTTATGCATTCCATAAAGTTTAACCCAGTTACCTGTGTATTCTCATTTGTGGTCTTCTGTTTTGTAGCTTTCTGTGTCTGAAACTGCTTTGTGACATTGGGGGTTTTTTAAATTCCCCATCAGAGTCCCTCCTGAAGAGTCACTTTTCCAGCAATGTCTGTCCTTGATCTATATTAATCTTGCTCTAGGGGAAACTTGTGACTTGGCCATGTGACAAACTGCTACAGCCAAACCCTTCATTCTTTCTCTGGTAGGGTTGTTCCACCCTAGTGATGATTTCAGTGTGGCCCTTCTCTGCAAAGTGTGGCCCTTCTCTGTACACATTGTGAAAGTGGGTTCGAGATGGCTGGGTCATAACCTGCACATAATGTTCTGAATGTGGCAGCACCATTGAAAATGGGAGGGTTCAGATTCAGCTAGGCACATACAGCTGTAGCAGAGAGATTGTCAGTGAATGGCTTTTCTCCTCTACTTTTGAAGCTGGAGACCTTGTACCATTTCACTCAGTAAACAAAGCTGCTCGATGTTCCTTGATCAAAGTGTTTTTCTCTTATCTGGGTCATGTATTGACTGTTGTATGGGTGGTTGTTGTTTTTTTGTTTTGCCATCAAGTCACAGCTACCCCAGGGGGTTTTCAGGGCAAGAGACTTTCAGGGGCAATTTGCCTTTGCCTGCCTCTGTGTCATGACCCTGGACTTCCGTGGGGGCCTCCCTTTCCAAATACTAACCAGAGCCAACCCTGCTTAGATTCCAAGATCTGATGAGATCGAGCTAGCCTGGGCCATCCAGGTCAGGACTCTGTGGTTCATATTGTATTTTAAATTGATCCTATCTTGCAACTAGCTTTGGGGCTCGTTGTGACCTAAAAAGTTGGGTTGTAAATGTTTTACTAATACTGAATTAGGCCTCCCCTAATCTCTTGCCTCCAAGCAGGATGCTTGGCAGCCTGAGCAAACAAAACCTTGAGGTCCATCTACACTCTTCTGCATGGTTATGATTTCTCCAGAAATGGTGATGAAGTCATCCCCTATAATGAGAACAGAGGCGAGAACAGTAACATGGACATGGGGGGGAGAGAAACTGGGGGGGGGGGAGGCATTGTCTCTATGTGACAAATGATGCCTTGTTTTAATGGTCACAAAGTGCTCAAATTATTGGGGTGAGAAGCAGAAACTTTTAATGAATTTTGCAACCCTCATCACCCCCCACTGGTTTCTGAAAACAATAACTGCGGGATGGGGGTGGGGGGATCACACAGGAAATCAAACTGCTCCCTTCCCCCTGTAATTCAAGCATTTTTTTTAATAGCTCATGGTCATTAAAAAGTGGTTTCTGTATATGTGTATGTGCCCGGGGACTGCTCTGTATGTGAGGGATGCTAGTCTGAACTGCAATAGAAGAGCCTGAAATCAACAGATCCCCCTTTTGTCTTCCTGCAGGATTCCTTTGTGGGGTGGGGTTCTCATAACCATTGCTGACACCTTCATGTTTCTCTTCCTGGACAAATATGGTAAGCTCTGCTTTATTTAAACAAGTCCTTGTTCAAAGTCTCTTTCTTCCATTGTTGCTAACGGGTCATGGCACTTCTCACCAACAATGCTGAGAACGCCATTGTTAGAGTTACCAGCTCTGGCTTGAGAAATACCTGGAGATTTGGGGGCAGTGCCCGGGGAGCAGCGGGGAGGTCAGCCGTGATGTGATGTCACCCTGGTGGTGGTGGTGCAAAGTGCCGTCAAGTCACAGCTGACATGGCGAGCCCATAGAGTTTTCAAGGTAAGAGGCGTTCAGAGAGGGTTTGCCATCGCCTGCCCCCGCATCACAACCCCGATATTCCTTGGAGGTCTCCCATCCAAATACTTGCCAGGGCCATCCCTGCTTAGCTTCCAAGATCTGATGAGATTTGGGCTAGTCTGGGCTATCCAGGTCACCCTAGGACTTGTGTTTCTCCTAGGTTAAGGGTGTACCATAGAGTCTACCCTCTGAAGCTGCCATTTCCTCCAGGGGAACTGGAGATCAGTTATAATTCCAGGAGGACCCCAGGCCCAATCTTGCATTTGGCAACCCTAGCCATTTTTAGTTATCATCTAGAAATCTCCTTTATGCTCAAAGAACCTGTGCAATTTTTACAAGACCTTTGGGTGCTCACCTGACTTCAAAGAGCACGGTGCAGGAAGTTGCTTCTTTCTTTTAAATGGTAGACAGCAGAATCTTTACTGGCCGTGTGGAGTGAGTTGCCTAATTCTCTGAAGCTTCCCAACACGTTTTGCAAAGTTCGTGAATACCATTAGCATGATGTGTTGAATGGGAAGCGACCATTAATGCAAGCAAAAAAATCTCCAAACATGCAGCTTTTCCTGTTGCTGTAGCAATTGGTTATCAGCTGCTACTTGTTTCATAACAGAGAACCAGCCTTTGGAGCTTAACCTCTGGTGCCCCGTGAAGTTGTGCCTTGCATCTCTCTTGGGTTATAGTCCCATCCACTTTTTCCTTGGGAAGCCAGTCTGATTGAACTCTGTGGTCTCTGTTTTTGTGTGCATACGGGTGAGGTGGGAAGAATTTCCAGATTGTGGCTCAGATCCTCCAGAGCAGTACCACAAGCAGAACAGTTTCCATCGGTGGAGCATGGCTTTCTGGCCTCCCATTTCCACGGCCACTCCGAACGTGCTCCCCATGCAGGAGGGGCAAAAACGTAGCACTCCACAGCCAGAAATCATTCCGTCCTCAGAACTGCTGTGATAGAACCAAGCCTGTGTTTTGCATGATAAATAAGATAACTCCGTATAGCTGGGTGTTGCAGAGAGCTATTGCAATTTTTTTTTTGTTCCACCCCAGCTTTCAAATAGCAGTATTGCTCTTTCTGGGGAAAATGTTCTGCTGCCCCTACCAGCCCATCTGGGTTAGTTGGTTCCATTGTGATCAAGTGTTATGTGGTTGCCGGCCTCTGACCTCACTCGTGAGGAAAGACACAATGCTGCCTCCCCATTCATTCCGCCCTCCATGGCCACCGTTTTGTAACTCTTCTCGTTTCTGGATTTTTCTGGATCCCTATAAAGCCTGTTTCCTTCTGCTGTATTACTTAAAGGCCAAGAGTGGTGGTGTGGCCTTTAAAAATCAAGTACCAGCAAAGAGTGTGCTGCAACAGTGAACTGCTGTTTCCCTTCTTCCATTCTGGTGGATCAGGGCCTTAGCACTCTTGGTGCAGGTTCAGGGACTGGACAGATTTTTTAAATTGTTCATTTAGGTACATCTTAAAGAGGGTGACAGGGATGAATGAGTGTCCCCAACCTTTCTGAGCCCAAGGGCACCTTTAGAATTCTGACAGTGTGGTGGGCTCAATCACAAAATGGCTGCTGCCTCTTACCTTCAATCACACCGTGAAGATCCTGGTGCATTGGTGGCAGCTGCTGCCAAATTAAAAAATCTGCGCAGCCAATCAAAATCTCCAGTGGCCAGTCAGAAGCCTTCCTGGGGAAAAGTCCCACCTGGCCCTGCCCGCTTTCTAAAAGCACTTGTTGGGCACCAGGGAAGGTGACCGTGAGCACCACATTAGGGATCCCTGCTCTACAGGATGTGATGATATTACAGTTACATGAAAAGTTCTGCCAGGACTGCACAAGCAAATGCCCATTATGAAGTCATTGTATTATGCCTGTCTTGTCAGGGCACACTCAAACTTCTGGCTGCTAACCGGTGCACATGTGTCTGTCATTTTCAGGCTTGAGGAAACTGGAGGCATTTTTCGGCTTCCTGATTACTGTTATGGCCATTATGTTTGGATATGAGGTAACCCTGATTTTGAATATTGATATTGACAATTGACTCCTTTGAACATCCTGCCGGGCTTTCCTAGTATGTGGACACAACAGAAACTCTTGCAGTGCAGGAAGTGCCTCTGCCCTAGAACAGTTGTTATTAAGGTGGCCCTGATAGGTGATGTTAGCAAGTACTACTTACATTTTTGCTACTACATATGCCACTGTAGATCTTCCTCTTTCGGAGGAGTGTTTCCAACACCCACAGCCCAACGTCCTATTGCTAGAGGGCTGCTTTGCACGTTCCATGTTTCGCTTTTAGATTCTTCTACTGATTATGTGTCTTCGACAAATGTGTGTCCCAGATTGCAGCTTTCGTGAGGAGGTTCCTCAGCTATTTTGATACCATTTCCAGAGAGTAAGCCGGGGCACCCCAGCCTTTTTGAGTCTGCAAGGAACCTTTGGAATTCTGACAGAGGGTGGTGGGTGCGCCCTCAAAATGGCGGCTGCAGGAGGCAGAGCCAGCCATGGAATGGGTGCCACAGTTTACCTTCAGTCACACAGTGCAGATCCTTGTGGTGGTGTGGCAGCTACTGCCAAAGCAACATTTTAAAAAATTTGCACAGTAAGTCAAAACTCCAGTGGCCAATGAGAGGCCATGCTGAGCAAAAGCCCCACTTGGCCCCACCCACTTTTTAAAAAACACTTGGTGGGCGCCAGGAAAGGTGTCAGCAGGCGCCATGACACCCACGGACACCACGTTGGGGGTGCCTGGAATAAGCGAGCCTCAAATGTCTTTCTTATTCTTAATATGTATCCAGGGATAGAGTTCCTTGGAGAACAAAAACCAACTTCAAAATCTTAGGACTTATACTTGCTCCAGGGAACACCGAATAAAAGCATAAGACAATAAATAACATGGGACTGGATCCAGCGGGAAATTTCCACTAATGGGGGGGGGTGTTCCACTGATCCCCCCCCCCATCTTTCCTCATGCTGTTTGTGGCAGTTCCCTCTCCCTCAGGAGCAGCATTTTAGCAAGCAATTTTGGGTTGCACTGAGGGGTTGAGGCGAGGAAGTCCTGCTCTGCTGATGGAAAATCCCTTCAGTTAGCAGGCATTTTCTATGGGCTTCAAGCTAGGGTTGCCAGCTCTGAGTCGGGAAATACCTGGAGATTTGGGGGTGGAGACTGGGGAGGGTGGGATTTGGGGCGGGGAACTGATTTTGGTCATCTGGTGATCAGTTGTAATAGCTTCAGATCTCCAGGTGCCACCTGCAAGTTGGCAACCCTAATTCAAGCCCATAATTTTAAACTAAATAAAGCCCAGAGGGAGGGGAATAATCAATTGCTAAGCAGAAACGTACAAGTTCCCAAGTTAATCCATAGGTATTTAAAGTGTGGGGGGGAATGGTTGTGGGAGTGTTGTAGTAAACACTATGTGCCTAGATGAATCCAATGGCCTGGCCTCTAGCTGCTCCTTATATTCTCACTACATTGCAGGCTGTTAAAATGGATGGAACTCTTCCTTAGGGCAGATATTTAAAGTCCGACTTCTTACCTTGCTGTCCCAAGTAGCCAGGTTTCTTAACTGCCTCGGGATGTCTCTGCCACCAGAACCAGGCCTCAGCGTTGGCCTAGGCCAGCATGAAGGCCTATTGCTATCTCAGCAGGACTAACTCGCGTTCTGTATGCATTCCACAGTACGTTACAGCAAAACCAAACCAGGCCGAGCTGCTAAAAGGGATGTTTGTGCCATACTGCGATAAATGTGGCCCTCCTCAGCTGGAACAAGCTGTGGGAATCGTGGGCGCTGTCATCATGCCACACAACATGTACCTGCATTCTGCTTTGGTTAAGGTAAGGTGTATTCTCCCTACCACCACCACCACCACCACCACCAAGGGGTAGTTCTTGAGCTTTCCACATCGGAGCTGCCATCGCACAAGTCTCACAGATGCCATGACCCCACACTGGGCCTAACTTACTTCACAAGGAGTATCAGCTTCTCTTCAAAGAGTCACAATACTTCAGTTCTTGCACTTCCTGTGACTATTACAAAGCGCCCCTCAGCCTCCTCCCCACGTAGCCTCTGTCCATTTTCTGCTTGTGCTGTAGGAAGCAGAACTAAGAACAGGCCTGCGATATCCTCACAACGATTCCCCTTGGATTTATTTTTCAATGGAGGCAAAGCATCAGGAACATAAGGTGTATTTTTACATTGAGACTAGACTACTATAGACTACTATCATACATGTCACACTGCACCTGGAAACTGCCATTTGTATGCTGTCGTGAACATAAGGTGCATTTTTACATTGAGACTAGACTACTATGGACTACTATCATACATGTCACACTGCAGCTATCCACAGCACCTGGAAACTGCCATTTGTATGCTGTATAATGGTTAGAATATTGGCTGAAGAGACCTGAGGGCAAATCAGGTGTACAGATCACTGGGTGCCTTTTGGCCAGTCGCATTCTCTCAGCCTAACCTACCTCATGCGGTTGCTGGTAGGGTAAAATGATGGGGGGAACCGTGTTCTGAGCTCCTTGAAAGAAGGGTGGAGTAAAAATGTGACTTGAGGGGTACATGACAGCCAGTCTTCTTGATTGAGATGAGCTCCTGGAAATATATTGCTTGTTACCCCAGGGTCTGTACCAGCTTCCCCCTCACCTCCCGGGCACAAATCAATTCTCTGGAAAGCATCTAGCTTTCCGGAGGGCCCATGTTGAAGGGGAAGTTAGATGTACACAAGGTGTACACAAAAATGTAATTAATTTTAATTAGATTTTTGTGCACACTGTATAATAAATTTTTCTTTTGATACAATTTTATAATTATAATTATATACTTTTACTTGCTGTAGCTTGACCCTTGTACGTTCTCAGTATATTTCGAGTTGAGTTTGTTTCCCCCTTCTCCTTTGTTTGCAAGATCTAAGGGCACCATTTAATTCACCCCACTGCTTAACTTTTGATGGCTGTTTAGAATTTGCAGAGGTGCCTTCTGTTGGCTAAATACCAAGTCATGGTATGGGATTCTTTTAACTGAGCTTTTCTTCCAGCCTAGATTAGGTAAAGGTAAAGGTTCCCTTGCTCGAAAGCCAGTCGAATCCAGGGTTGCGGTGCTCATCTCCGTTTCAAAGCCGAAGAGCCAGCGCTGTCCGAAGACGTTTCCGTGGTCATGTGGCCGGCATGACTAAACACCAAGGCGCACGAAACGCTGTTACCTTCCCACCGAAGTGGTACCTATTTATCTACTTTCAATTTCTTGCTTTCAAACTGCTAGGTTGGCAGGAGCTGGAACTAGAGACGGGAGCTCACTCCATCATGCAGCACTCAGGTCTTGAACTGCTGAACTACTGACCTTCCACAGCCTGCAGTTCAGCATCTTAACCACTTGAGCCACCGCAGCTCCTAGATTACCCTGTTGCTTTTCTCTCTAGTCTCGGCAGATTAATCGGTCCAACAAGAAAGAAGTCAGCGAGGCGAACAAATATTTCTTCATAGAGTCCTGTGTCGCCCTCTTTGTCTCCTTCCTCATCAATGTCTTTGTCGTCTCGGTCTTTGCAGAAGCTTTCTTTGGTCAAACCAATGCGGAAGTGGTGAGTCTTCCTCTTTCTCCTCCTGCTGTGGCCCTTCTTTTTCCTGGAACAACTTTTAATTGAATACCAGAAGACAAGGAATTTCTGTTGCAGTAACCACAAGATCTTAGGATGAGATACAACTCTCATTGTCACTAAAGCAAGCAAACAAACCTAAAGGCGTACCTTGTTCAGTAGAACAAAGTTTGTGTGCACATGAAAACTTATACCCAGAATTAAACTTTGTTGGTCTTAGAGGCGGCACTGGACTCAAACTTTGTTCTGCTGCTTGAGACCAACATAGCCACCTACCTGAATATTGTTCAATGTAAGGGTTTCCAGAGCCGCCGCACCGCCGCGCAGGGCTCTTTGTGTAGCAGGTACTCATTTGCCTATTAAGCGACACACCCCTAATGTAGCCAATCCCCCAAGAGCTTACAGTAGCCCCTGTAAGAAGAGCTCTGTAAGCTCTTGGAGGATTGGCTACATTAGGGGTGTGTCGCTTAATATGCAAAGGAGTTCCTGCTACAAAAAGAGCCCATCATTTAAGTAAGTAATTTAGGTAAGCTGACTTTTCCATGTGGCACTGATGTCAAGAGGATGGTTTGGTCACGTCTTGACTATGAAAGATTGATTTTCCAGCGTTTGTCTCCTTTCGGGAGTCAGGACTCAACCATTTCCCTCTGCAATCAACCCTGCCTTGGATCATAGTTTGCAGAAACTTTCTGCTATCTCCCACCTGTTCCTCCTCCTTCAGACTTTGGTTCCAAGTAGACACTGGGGGGGGGGGGCAGTCTGAACTAAGCCCCTGTGGTGCTTGAAAAATTTGTTCCCTGCATCTGCCATCTAACTGAGGAAAAAGCAAGTCAGGCGAAGGAAACCCAGACTGAACTTGTTTTAAAAAATGTAACTTGTAGTGTGCCCCTTTGTGCCCAGCCAGAAAGTGGTAATAAGACTCTTCTGTCTGCATCTCACAGCCCTTTAAAGCCAGACTGGGCAGCTCTGTAGTATTTTTTTTGCAGCCCACTGTACAGGATTAGTTCTGCGTGGTGCTGTATGCTAGCATAGCACGTGAGCATCTGTGGTAATGCATCTCCTGCTGTTTATGACTTTCAGGGCCGTTCTTGTCCTTTCCATGCTTAATAGTTGTTCTTTTCATAACATGGGTTTTCTTGTGAAAGAATTGGGCTCCTTTTATTTTTAGGTTGTTCCGTTCTTAAACATGATTTCCTTCCCCTCCCCCAGCAGTGCTTCCCATTCCTGGTACTTACACTGCGAAAACTAAAAATGTCACTCTAAATCTGTTTCCAGCATAACGTGTGTGCAAATGTCAGTATCGAGCATGCTGGGCTGTTTCCACTGAACAACGATACCCTGGATGTGGATATCTATAAAGGGGTGAGTAGTGTTTTTTTGCAGGGCATTCTGCATGGGGGGGAAGGAGCAGTTGCCTTTGTACTTTGGGGCTGTTTAGCACTTGCTGCCTTTGACATTAATGGAAGCCATTGCCAGACAAGTGCCCAGAAAGCAAACATCCCTCAGTCAAAACAAGTATTTGTTTCATTTCATGCATTTTCATTTAGGACTTGTTTTATCCACTGTAGCCCCACACTGGATGGTGAAACCTTTTGCCTGGTGTTTAACAAACTGGCAACAGTTTCATCACTTGCACAGCGTAGCATAGTGGTTAAGAGCAGTGGACTCTGATCTGGAGAACCGGGTTTAATTCCCCACTCCTCCTCCACATGAAGCCTGCTGGGTGACCTTGGGCCAGTCACAGTTCTCTCAGAACTTTCAGCCCCACCTACACAAGGTGTCTGTTGTAAGGAGAGGAAGGGAAGGAGACTGTAAGCTGCTTTGAGACTCCTCAGGGTAGAGAAAAGCAGGGTACAAAACCCAATTCTTCTACTTCTACAAAAGCTCCCATGAATCAGGGGCACATTGTGATTGGGGACAGGCACAAACTGGGAAAATGCAGTTTGGTTCATAGTTCGTGGCATGCCGGGTTTGTGAACCAGGAACCATCACACACTTTTAGCTGCCAAACTGGTTTGTGAGGTTCGTGACATGGTAGAAGCCCCCCCACATGCTAGAGACACCAAACGTGCAGGGGATCTCTGGCTGACTCTCATCTACCTGCCTTCCAAGTATGGTGAGGATTGGATTTACAGGGTCTGAGTTACAGCCCCCCAAAGAAGCTGCCCCCAGGAAAGTGCTTTCTGGGGAAATGACAGCTGACAGGCAGTCATTGACAGGCACAGGTACAGGAGTGTATAGAATGGATCCTGTGCAAGCCGGAGACATCAAAGTCACAGGGGACCTCCCCCGGATGCTTCTCTACATGCCCTCCAAGTTCTACCCCCCGGTTGCTTTGAGGTTTGGTAAACATTTAGATTGAGCGGAAATAGTCTGTCTGGAAATATATCCGTTCACGAACCAGCACAAACTGCCACAAACTGTTTGAAAGTTCATGGAAAGTTCATGCCAGTTGACCTGCCATGTATGTCACTTCACAAACCACAAACCGGCCAAAATGCATCATGAACTTTAGTCCGTGAGCCAGTTCGTACCCATCCCTAATTGTGATCCGCTACTTGGGTGAGTACTGCTGTGACAGATGATCTGAGAGCCACATATGGTTCACCTGCATGCTTGGGAAAAATTTTTGTGTACTCTATGGGCTCAAGGACCCCTAGTCCTCATGGATGTAGACCCCCGAGAGGTGATGACTAAAATGTTACATCATATGACATCCAATTATGTAAAATCTGGATTGAACAGCACTTAGATCCATTACATCTTTCTCAAAATATTTGTTCGGTAAGGGCTAATGTTAAATGTTACTAACGGAAAATAATGCGGTTGAATAACACTGCAGATAAAGAGCTTACATTTATTCTTTTTAAAACCCTTCTATGTATCAGGGTGTCGTTCTCGGGTGTTATTTTGGTCCTGCTGCTCTCTACATCTGGGCTATTGGGATTCTTGCGGCAGGACAGAGCTCAACGATGACTGGGACCTATTCTGGACAATTTGTCATGGAGGTATTTGGTCTTTCTTCAGCCACAGTCATTTATATCTGTCATTGGGGGTGGGGGGTTCTTTTTCCTTGTTTGGGTTATACAGGTGCATAAAGCTTAGTTGTTGGAGCCTAGAGAATGGGTTCCAAATGTTCTCACAGAATCTCTTTGTACCAGGGCTAAGCATCACAGGGATATTGTTTTCTGGCAAATAGGACAATGCTGAATGAGCACTGTCTTAAAAACTGCATGCAAGAAAGAGACACATGGCTACTTCCTAGCAGCCACTGATTCTCATTTTGCAACAGTTTGCTCATGCAGTCCTCAAAAACTATTAATTTGATTCTTCTGCCTTCCTGTGTGATCCTGGTTATGCTGCAGGTCATGAAGTCTCAGTTGCCAGTACATTTTGAGCTAGTTTGGTGTAGTGATTCGGAGCACAGACTCTAATCTGGGAGAACCGGGTTTGATTCCCCACTCTTCCACTTGCAGCTGCTGGTGTGACCTTGGGTCAGTCACAAGTTTTCTCAGAGCTGTTCTCTCAAGGGTAGTTCTCGAAAGAGCTTTCTCAGCCCTACCTACCTCACAGGGTGTCTGTTGTAGGGAGGGGAAGGGAAAGGAGATTTTAGCTGCTCTGAGACGCAGCGTGAAGGGCGGGATATAAATCCAATCTCTTTTTCTTCTTCTATGAAATATGGGCCTTCCACTGGACTCCTGAAAGAATCCTAGCTAACTTTGCCCACCTCCTCTGTCTTTGGCCATCCCTTTAGCAATCCCAAAGTCCTATGCACAATAATCTGAACTCTACAGAGATTACATAATGGTGAAAGTAGAATAAGTCATGCACTTGCAAATGTTCGTTAACATAGATGCAGAAGGCAGATACTTTGCTTGGGAAGGTCCCAGTTTGTAGGCTGTTAAAAGCCCCAGCCTTCATTTTAAAAGAGCAAGGCAGATTTCTAGCCCTCATTGTTGTGAAAAGAAATCCAGAAGTATAAATGGGTTGTCTTCTAAGAGGCATGGGGCTGAATTGCCCTTGAACAGAACCAAGGGCTTACTCCTAACAGCCTGGAGACTCTTTCTGTGTACTGGAGCTTCTAGTCCCCGTCGTTAACTTAATGCCTACCAATAACCTTATCTCTTCTTCATTTTTGCTAGGCAGGTTATATAACTTGGTATGCATAGTACTGTCCAGCTTCTGTCCGTATGCTAATAATTTAACATAGCTTTTGCTGGAGGTGGAATTTGGTGGCTCTTTGTTCTGTCTGGACAGGTGGGATTGCACCTGCATGGAGTAATGTTTAGAACTTTCTAGAGCCAAAGCCAACAACTTGGTGATTTTATAGCCCCACTCAAGAGTGAGATGAGATGTCCATGCAATACTCAATAGGAGTGCCTCAGGTGGCAGAGTATAGTGTTCTTCTGCGCAATTCTCATTGGACAACTGTAGCAACAGTATCAAGGTCATTTTACTATATAGGGTTTTTAAGTCTCCTTCTATTTAATCCCCTGCTTGAGTTCAGTTTTGTGTTTTGCCCCTATTCACCTTTTAAAATTTGTAGGCAACCATTTTTTTCTCCCCTCTTTTGCCCCAGGAGGAAATGTTTTTAGTCCTGGTTCTCTTCATAATGTTCTAGTAGTCATTTTGTTTCAGGATGACCCGTCCTCTTTTGATCCCAGATCTTCCAAAGAGAAAAACACCTTCCTTACCGATTTCCTCACACCACTCTTTTTGTCAAGCTTGCCTTATATTGGCTCTCCATTTGTTTAACTCTTTGTCCCTCTTCCTTGCTTCAGGGGTTCCTGAATCTAAAGTGGTCACGTTTTGCTCGGGTGGTTCTGACCCGCTCTATTGCCATCACCCCGACCCTCCTGGTTGCCATTTTCCAAGATGTGGAACATCTGACTGGCATGAATGACTTCCTAAACGTTCTGATGAGCTTACAGGTGAGGGACCTGGTGAGGTAAAGCATACCATAAAAATGAGCCATGTTGCCTTGTTCCTTGACCACAGCAAAATTTAAGTTTGGGGAGACATCAGAATCCAAGTTTTGAAAGGGAATGATCATGCAAAGTGACAAAGGAAGTTCAACCACACACCCACACAGAAGAAACTTAACCATTTGGGCTCCGTTATTCTCTTCCGACGAGGCAGGGAATAACCACAGAGCAAAAGGCCTGAATGTACAAGTTCGTCTTTGTATTAAATGGAAATGGGCATCAACCCTGAGACAAGGAGATACAGACAGTTAACTGGGAATAAAAACACATCAAGGTCCTCTATCTTAGTTTTTAAGTTTTCTAATTTTATTGTGGGATGTATCTAGTCTCATTTTTTCTCTGTAAGCTATTTGAGTTTTGTTTGGGTTTGGTTTGTTTTTAAAAAATGGAAAGCATAGATCCTATTTTAAATAATGTCAAGTAGTTAGCCATGTTAGTCTGTAGGAGCAGACCAAAATTCAAGTTCAGTAGCACCTTTGAGATTAACAACAAAATTTTCCAGTGTATAAGTTTTCATGCATCAGAGTTCACTTCATCACATGAAACCTTATAGCCTGGGAAATTTTGTTGGCCTCTAAGGAAGGTGCTACTGGATTTGAATTTTATTGTAAATAAATTACTCATGAAAGCAGTTCTTCTAACAAAGAGAAAATTCCAGGCCCTTAGGCATTTCTTACTGTGAAAATAAGTACTGAAGTCCTGGGACCGATTCCAGTGTTGATATTTTCCACAGTTTCTGTACTTTTCTTGCATCATCATGCTGATGGCAGTGAAGGATTAAGGATCTGCCTGGGCTACAGTCTAAGGGTGTGCAGCAAAAAATAAAATAAAATAGGTATTTTTTGCATTCAGATATATTGGAGCCAAAAAAAAATCATTAATCCCAGTGTCTTGGGTTCCAAACATTGGTATGGTAATTGGATCTAGATTTGGGGGGTGGGGGGTGTCCCAATATTTTTTTGCTCCATTGTTCCCTATGAGGAATTTTTCGGGGCAGGGGGGGCTGGGCGGTGTTTTTAAAGGTATTGATACCAAAATTGCAGGGGAGCTGCTGGTGCCTGTCTGTGAAATAGCCCCCAAATTTCAAGTGAATTTGGACCAAGGGTCCAATTCTATAGGCCACTGAACAAGGATTCCCCAGCCATCCTCCATTATTTCCTACTAGCAGAAAAGCCCGTTGTGAAACCGATACAACGGGATCTAGAAATATGTGGTCTGTAACGAATGCATAGGCTGGATGGAGGTAAGGTAAACAGTAGTGGGTGAGGGTGGGAGGGGGGTGGGGGAACGATGGCGGCGGCGGCCGGAGGCCTCTGCATCCCGTTGCTGGCCCTGGAGTGAGTGGGGGGGAAGGGACCCGGCCTCCAGTTGCCGGCCCA